CTGTTATCTGGCTATGTTATGTGCAGAAACATTCAGATGCTAGATTTAAATCTGCAAATGGGATTTAAAGCATTTGAAATATCCTATAATTTGCTAAATTGTATGCAAAGTACAGGAATTTGAATTTTCTTCAAACACTGAACTGCATTTGAACTATCTCAGTAAAGGCACAAACTGAAAAATGATGGTCCCACTGCACAAGATCTTAAAGGACCACTATAGGCACTATAGGCACTTCAGCTTAATGAAGTGGTCTGGGTGCCAGGTCCATCTAGGGTTAACCCTGCCTGCTGTAAACATAGCAGTTTCAGAGAAACTGCTATGTTTACATTAGGGTTAATCCAGCCTCTTGTGGCTGTCTCATTGACAGCCGCTAGAGGCGCTTACGCGATTCTCACTGTGATTTTCACAGTGAGAAGACGGCAGCGTCCATAGGAAAGCATTAAGAACTGCTGGACTGACTGAATGCGCGCGCGGCTCTTGTCGCGCGTGCGCATTCAGCCGATGACGTTGGAAGAAGGAGAAGAGTCCCCAGCGCCGAGGGAGCCTGGTGGGAGTGGGACCCTGAGGGTGGGGGGGATCTATTAACACTGTAGGGCCAGGAAAATGAGTGGTCCTTTAAAGGAATACTTCAGGCACCATAACAATGTCATCTCAATAAAGCTGTTGTGGTAGCAGGAGGTCCCAGGGGCCATCTTACCGAAAAACATTTTTGTTTTTACTATTAACAGATGGTTTAACAAGAAAAAAAATCAGGAAGCCGCTGACTAGGTTCAGGCTGAGAGTGTAAACTAGCTCCCATTCATATAACTGAGTGAAACAGCTACGTACCTTTTGTCATTCAGTTTTGTGAATGTAGAGCTAATGATAGGCTGAGAGAGTCAGCTGACACACTCAGCCTATACACAGGTTACAAGAAAAAGGAAAAAAAAACAGAAGTACAAAATAATGTGAATCACCAAAAAGTGATAATATATAAATGAATACAAACTGAATATATGTTGAGATATTTAAATGCAAAATGTATCTGTAGAGAGATATACAAACAATATATAGTGTAATATTGTTAGAGACCACTTGAGAATATGGGTGGTAGAAAACTCACAAGGGTAAGATGAAATCAGGCATATCTCCCTCTGTATTAAGGGACTGGAAAGTATGAAGGACCTCCAGCGATGAATCCAAATATATATGAACAGCAAATCTTATTGGTACTTCTGAATGTGATACAGACAGCTGGAGTTTGCACCAGTGCTAACAATGAGACATATCTATCCACATTCTGCACAATATGTACTTTCTGTCTCACTCTCTGTATTTCTGCTTTCTCCCATAGTCCATGGTCTCTTAAAGGGATACTATAGTGTTAGAAGTACAAATCTGTATTTTAAACACTATCGTGCCCTCTGGTTCCCCCCTTCCTTGTGGCCCCCCTCCAGCATGTAATGAGATAAAAAAAATTAAACTTTATTTATTCAAGCACCGATGTGCCTCAGCACTGGGTCGGCGCTCCACCTCCTCTGATGTCAGTTGTCAAGAGAGCCTAATGCCCATGTGCGGTGAGCACATTAGGTCCTCCTCATAGAAAAAGCTTTGCCTCAATGCTTTCCCATAGGTATTTCACTGATGCTGGGTTTCCTCATGCAGAGACGTCCTGCATCATTTAGGAGACCTAGAGTCCGTTAGCATGCAGGAAGTGCTTCTGGCGGCTGTCTCATTGACACTAGAGGCAGTTTCGTCCTGCAAGTCTGATTTATATTGCAGGGCTAAGAATAAAATGAAGTGATATGGGTTATTATAGAGTCCTTTTAAAGGAACACTCCATGCACCATAACTGCTATAGCTGGCTTAAAATGGTTTGACTACCACCTAGGGCAGGCTTCCCCAAACTCAGGCACTCCAGATGTTGCTGAACTACCACTCCCATGATTCTATGAATGAAATAGAAAGGCTGAGAATCATCAGAGTTGTAGTTCAGCAACATCTGGAGGGCCGGCATTTGGGAAAGCCTGACCTAAGGTCTTCTAGGTTCCACTTCCTGCCTGTCTCCTTCATGTTTAAGAGGTGGAAGTTCCTTCTATAAGTTTCCATTGGCCCTTCTTAAGTAAACGCTAGCATCTGCTGATCACTCTCACCACAGTGAGCCAATTACATCTTTATTTAAGAAACCTTCCAGTGAGCAATCCGTTGAACTATTTGGTAAGGTAATATCAGCTTCTATTAGCTTGTGCAGTGATTTCATGAATGGAATTACTACAGACAGTTGAACTACACATTACAGAAACTCTTCTTTCGTGTTCTACTGTTGAATAGGGTTTATACAATATGCTCAGTGTACCCTATGAGAAGAATGGAATGGGCACAATTGTCTGAGCAATCTCAGCCACTCCCTGAATTATATGAAGATGAGTAACTGTTCAATTTAGTTAACTTATTTACATTAAAATTAGCTTTTTTGTGTCTAAAATATGTGAATATTTTGAGTATAATTTTTTAGTTTGGTTTCAACCAAAAGTTGAAGTTATTGATAACTACACAGTCTTGTAAAAGGACAAAGAAAGCATGACATGTTTGATGTGATGTCAAGTCAGCCTGCAAGAATGCATGAGAATACAGTGCAAATTTCAACTCTCTGCTGTATCCAGGGCTGGGTTAATTTAGGGCCTGTTAAAAGCACCAGCTCCAGGCACATGCTATGAAATAGGCTCAAAACTGACACACTCTTAATGTCCAATCGTTTTTATTTTTATTTATTCATTATGAGATAGATTGCTACCACTACTGGAGTGGTGCTCCACATCATATATATATATATATATATATATATATATATAATATGTCATTTTTTTCTTTTGTAATAATTTATTTTAGCATGGTCCTCTTCAGCTATTGATTCTTATGCCAAAACAGGTTTAGTTGGAATCATGTGTTTGTCTTTTTTCCTATTGTACAGTACTGCAGAATATGTTGGTATCCGTGGACTGCACCAGGGATCACACAATTTGGGGGGGTCCATCGGCTGGCCCATGCACTTAGGGCTATCTAACAGCAATGTGTCTACAGGGGCCTGATCTTCTGCCTTTTAATTATGTAAGTGGGCGTCTTTAATAATGGCCGCACAGGGAGGAAGTGACAGATGGCAGTTTCCTCTGAAATAACATTCCTCTGCATGGGAAGGAGAGGATAGAGAGGAGGGGAGCATCTGACTCTCAACAGCCTCAGCCAGTGTATGTCTGTGTGTATATCTGTGTTTGTGTGTGTGTGTGTGTGTCTGTATCTGCACTGCATGTTAGTATGTGTGTATTTGCATGGGTGTCAGTATGTGTATCTGTGCATCCGTACAAGTGTTGCTGTGTGTCAGTGTATCTGTATGTGTGTCTGTCTTTGTATCTATATAAGTGTCATTGTGTGCATCTGTGTATCTGCATGTGTGCCATTGTGTGTGCATCTATATGTGTCATTTTGTGTGTATCTGTGTGCCTTTGTATCTGCACATGTGTCAGTGTATGTGTGTGTCTGTATCTGTACATCTGTGCATCTGTTTGTGTGTCAGTGTATATCTGTGTATCCGCATGTGTTTCAGTGTGTGCAGCTGTGTGTTTGTGTATCTGCATCTCACATACCTGTGTATGTGTGTATCTGAATTGCTGTCAGAGTTTGCCTCTGTATGTGTATCAGTGTATGTATCTGTGTGTGTGTGTGTGTGTGTATCTAGATCTGTGTCACTGTGTCTGTATCTGCATGTGAGTGTGTATGTGTATCAGTGTGTGTGGCAATGTATATGTATATGTACAAACATCTCAGCATTAAAACACCAACACTACACACAAATATACCCCCTGCATTTAAATGTCAACACTACTATGCACACGTAAACAACTGCTTTCAAATGGCAACAGTAATTGAAAACAAACAAAACTACACAAAAATACACCTCTATATTCACACACACATATTACATACAAAAACATACTTACATTCAAACACACAAATAGTGCTAAATACAACTCGCAAGGATGAGCAAATGGTAGATCCCCAGCTGGCAAAGCAGTGTGGGAGTTGTACGACAGGATCTACTTGTCGGTGGTCTCTGCCATGGGGAGGGTGGGGGATATTAAAATTCCTGCACCAGGGCCCTTTCTTCTTTAGTCCCATCACTAATATAAAGAATTGTAATTAGAGAAGCCAGAGGCCTCATAATCCAGTAGTAGGTTTGATATATGTCCGACATGTATCCCAAAACAACTACTGTGACAATGGAAATGTGACATCACATATTCATCACCAAGCCCCTGGTACTAGATGTACCGCTAAAAGGAACAGGATAATGTGTGCTGCACATGCCCAAACATATTACATTAGCTCTCAAAAACTGCTAATGCTGGGTAACAGGACTAAAACCTTTTTTGTCAATATAAAATTAATGGGAGGAAAGCAAGCAGCATTTGTGTGTTTTATATTATTATATTACATTAGCACACGTGTCTAAAGAAGGAGCAACACTAATACTTTTGTGCATCTGCTAGATGCCTTTAGATTTAGAAAATTAAAAGATATCTAAAGTAAAAAAAAAAAATTGTTATATATTCATACATGTAATTTCTCTTACTTCAGATTTCTTCTGTTGCTCCCAGGGGCGTTTTAGCCGCGAGGCAAACAAGGCATGCCTTGGCATTTTCCAGGGGGCGGCAAAAAAATCCGCCCCCAAATTCCCAGGGCAAATGCCTTGTTAGCCTTGCGGCTAACAGACATGCTGGGCTGGGCGGGCGGCTGGCGAGGGAGCACTTCCTCTGAGCGGTCTGCTCAGCTCCCTCGCACGCCGCATAGTGAGGCTGGAAGCCGGAATATGACAGCCTCACTCTGCGGCGCGCGAGGGAGCTGAGCAGAGAGCTCAGGGGAATGTAACATGTAAGTGCTGATGTAATGTAACAACATATTTATAACTATTTTGTGATCATATGAAATCAACTACATGGAAAACAGAACCAGCAATGATCATCACTGTTTATAACATGATGTGCAGACTGTATTGTGTATATATATATATATATATATACACACACACAATACAGTCTGCTCATCATGTTATATATATATCATGTGTATTTCTAGTACTCTATTTAAATGACTGAGCAGTGAAGAATTATCCTCAAACGTACACAGCAGACACACACATGGTCCTCCAACATTTTCCGCTATTTTAAAACATTGCTTTATTTTTTTTTCAAAGACATGCTTTTAAAAATGATCATTTTTTTCCTGTGCTTTCTTCTAAACAGTGTCTTTGTGTACTGTAAGATCTGATAAAATGTCCTTGATGCGTACCAGATGTGTTTAAAAAGTGATGTGTTTATAGACAGAGAACAGACTTAAAATTGCACTGCTCCACCTGCTCATCTGGAGAGCACCTGTATGCTGTAGGCATGTATAATTGCCAGAATACCACAGTGATGCTTATGTTAAGCGACTGCATGGCAAGCCATTAAGATTTAATAGATAATAATGTATTAATTTAGTATCTGCGAGGATTGGTTACAGACATATTTAGTTAACCTGTGTCAGCTATAAGATCTTGGCTATTACATTTGCTTTGGTATTTCCTGTATATGATAGCTAGCGAACTGTGCAATTAATCCAGCAATGCATTTTAAAAAATATATTTTTTCTTGCTTGTACAGGACAAAATGCAGTGCTTTATTAAGGAGAAAAGAGTGGGATTCATTCATAGAATACAATTTTGAACAATACCGGCTGAGGACAAAAATACTGAATAGGTTAAAAAAATTTGATTTGGTTGAGAAAAAAAAATCTCACTGTTAATTATTTGAAGAAAGAGCTAAAGGTTTTCTGTCATTGTGAAATGGGCAGTGGCATAGGAGACTATAACCAGACATTTGTTAGAAAGAGAAGACACCACAAGGAGGACTTGATCAAATCACTCATCATGCTATTGATTCTGAGAGAGTAATGAAAGGGATAGTCCGGTTTTACAAGTCATATGGTGACTTCTTATTTTGTTCAGTATAGGAAAGGGTTAGTAGCAATGAGATGTACATTGTCACAATGCTCTTACAGCCATAATGCTGGCAAAGCATCATGGAAGGTGTAGTCCAAAACATCTGGAGTGCCAAAAATTGCCTATCCCTGATCTAGTCTATTCTAACAATGGGGTAGGTCATAAAGATTTTTATGTGTAGATTTTGTTTTCCTGTGAGAGGTTTAGCATGTTATCAGGAGTCTAAAGGTTACTTATTATGATATCCATGTACTACTGTTATTGGGAGATCACTGCTAAGATAATTGTTGACTATCTGTATAATATTTTATTATCATTTATTAATACACCTCTCTATTCACGATTCCCAAATAGTAAAACATGCACAATGTCATTATATGATTGTTGGTTTGCTCTGCACATTGTCCTTCAACGTGACCCTCTCCATGGATTGCTGAACCTTCTATACATATTTTTTTTTTGCTATATGGTTATTGGTTGACTTTTGTTTTTACTTTTTTTTGCAGTAATCCTCCAATTAACTTACCTCTCTGACTAGTGCCAATTAATGTCCTGACCACCGTGCACTACTGCATAAATTCTGTGCTATGTGGGCATAGAGAAGCGTTTTCAATGACCTGGAATAGTGCAAACAAATTGTTAAACCCCTTGGATTGTCTGAAAATCATAGGGGCTACAGTCCTATTACAGCTAGGGGTATTTCATGTGGTAACCTCTAACTATTAGGTTTATTTACCAAGGCCAACATTGTCAAACAATGCCCACTTAAACCCAATCTTTTCATGCATCATAAAAACCTTGATGCAATTGAAAAATGTTTCCAAAGACAAAATATGGCCTAATGACCAAAGCAAAAGTAAAGCCTGATCACACTTGTTAGCCCTTTATAGAGCGTTTGAAGATTCAGCCAATCAGATGAGAGGAAATCTGACTGACTGCCTTTAAAAATTTGAATAGAAGGCAAGTTTGCATTTGAAGACCATTGACAAGTCCTTCCTTCTATTGTTCATATTTTGTCCCCACCTGATGCCAATGAGTGGCTTCTTGGGGCAACACGGGCCAGATCATTAGGGGAATACTGGCAGATCACCTCTTTTAGTGCCTCTACTACCCATCAGTAGCTAAACTACCAGGAAGCAAAAGCACCAGCTGTCCTATTCACTGCCGGGGAGTTGTAACAAATTTCATTTATAAAAGTGTCAACATCTCTTGAAATATGCACTTGTATAGAATGAAAAAAAGGAAAAAAAAGGAGGTCACACTCTTCATACATGTGCTCTATGTGTTTGTAGTGTTCATTTAACCCCTAAGTGACCAGACCGCTTTTCAATTTTCTTACCGTTTGGTTCCAAGACTGTTTTTACATTTCTGCGGTGTTTGTGTTTAGCTGTAGTTTTCCTCTTACACATTTACTGTACCCACACATATCATATACAGTTTCTCGCCATTAAATGGTCTTTCTAAAGATACCATTATTTCCATCATATCATAATTGACTTTAATTTAGTTTTTTAAATATGATGAAAAAATGTAAAAACTAACTAACTTTGACTTCCAAAATCTGTTACGCATCTACAACCGCAAAAAACACCCATGCTAAATAGTTTCTAAACTTTGTCCTGAGTTTAGAAATACCCAATGTTAACATGTTCTTAGCTTTTTTCCAAGTTTTAGGGATATAAATATAAGTAGGACATTGCGGTTTCAAAATATATATTTTTAAAGTGTATCAATAGTGACATTGTAACACTGTTATCTCACATGTACATATTTATCTGAATCATACCTCACATGTACATATTTTTTAAAGTAGTCAACCCAGGGTATTTAATATGGGCTATGTCCAGTCTTTTTTAGTAGCTACATAGTCACAAATACTGGCTAAAGTTAGTATTTATATTAGTTTATGTGTTAAAAATGCAAAAAACAATTATGAACGCTAACTTTGGCCAGTGTGATCAGGGTGATATCGTGTTATTTTGATTTAGTTAGGAGGGAAGCAATTCAGGGGGATTTGCAAAATTTCAAAAATGTCTAGAATATTTATATAATTTAAACCTGTGAAAATAAACTGAAGTAGTGGCCTTAAATATTCCCTACATCACCTTGAGATGGGACCAGTAAAAATGGGTAAAGAACACTGATCAAAAAATTTAAAATTAACAAACAATATAAAATGGGAGTGTGGAAATATAGTTCTCCCTATTCCTTAGTGGCAGTATGAAAATCAATAAAATTCATAGTCTGAAAATGTCTGAATTCGGGTATATATCACCTTCAATTGTTTTAGAACATTTGGGGATTAATTCTTCATTGTGCGTACAACATACCTCTCAACAGTGGGAGGTATGGAATTGGAATATGGGTCGGTAAGCCCAAGGGGTGTTGCCAATGATGCAATGTGCATCACTGCTAATGCCCATGTTGTGTGCAACCAGAAAAAGATATTAGGCCAGCACTCCAGGCAGAAAGACAGCCTCTCCTGTTGGCGATGAGGTTCACTGTAAGTAAAACCTTTTTTAAATATAATATATGAATATATTAATAGGAATTATAAATATGATTGGCCATATTCTCACTAGCACACGCACACTCTCACTGACATACACACAATGTCACTTATACACACTCATTAACACTCATACACACACTTTTCCTGACATACACACAATGGCACTTAAACACTCTCACTGACACACATAATGTCACTTACACACTCTCACTGACATGCACATAATGTCCCTTACACACTCTCATGACACATATACACATAATGTCCCTTACACATTCTCACTGACATACATAATGTCACTTACACACTCTCACTGAGACACATACACATAATGTCACTTACACACTTTCACTACATACACATAATGTCACTTACACACTCTCACTGACACACTCGGGTGCTGGGGTTACAATATATTGACTCGAGTGCTGGGGTTACTGCAGATCCCGCTCCCATAGCAGATAGTCGGTGGGCGCCATCAAGGCAGAGAGAGACCAGCAGATGAAGCAGCTGCGCTGAGGGGTGGCTAGGGAGCCGCTCGCTCAGCGCTTCAGCACCACATAGGGTCATCTCACCAGGAAACTTCCCGGTGGGCGCCCCCAGCAGGTTGGCGCCCCAGGCGAATTCCTTGTTCGCCTAATGGTGGCGCAGGCCCTGGATGCAGCACACCAGAGGACAAAAGTTGGACGGCAAGACAGGACCCTAAAGTAGAAACTGTTGTGCAAAAATAGGACAATTGGAAGGCCATCTGCAAACTGCTTCTGGTGTGAGTATACTTCTTACGATTTGGAAATAGGAAATCAGGACACCATTGGGCAGGCTTATTGGGTGCTTTTCGTCACAAGAAACGAACAAATTTGCAGGTTCAACCAGACATAGGCTCCAAAAAGACTCGTCAGCAAAATTGCATAACAGGCTAACCCCCAAATATGCTGGTAAATCTCCCTCAGTGCATTTTGGGAATAGCAAATGTCACGCTCGCGGGAGTTAGAGAGAGGGAAGAGCTGTAATGTACTGCTGCAGTCTGCTGGGCCCCCTCTGCATGTATAGGGAGAAGGGGGCCCCACAATGCCACCAGACCACCAGGGATGGAATCTCCCCTCTCCCTGAACCAGGTAAGAAACAGGGAGGGGGGAATAACATTTATTACATTTAATGGGGCAGGGGAAAATGCTCCATTTACACAATATGCATACACTTGGAAACACACACACACACACTACACTGACACACACTCTGTATTCACTACACTAACACACACTCTGCATTCACTACACTAGCACACACACTGCATTCACTACACTAACAAACACACTCTGCATTCACTACACTGACACACACACTCTGCATTCACTACACTAACACACTGCAACCACGCAACTAACACACTCTGCATTCACTACACTGACACACTCTGCATTCACTACACTGACACACTGCATTCACTACACTGACACACACGCTGCATTAACTATACACACAGCATCCACTACACAAACATCCTGTATTCACAGTACACACACTACATCCAACACACATTGAAACACTCTGCATTCACTATACAGAGACACTGA